AGTGATGTGAAGAGTTGTTCTGTGACGGACGCTGTTATTTGCGAGTATATATATATTATGATAAGATTACAATGAAATATAAAAAATAGACGTTTTTAAAATTTCCTTTGACAATTTAATGTTAAATAATCTAATCATTAGTCAGAGACTTTTTTAATCTTTGATTTTTCTTTTTGTTGGACTCGTTTGTTTAAGTCCCGTGAAGACCACCACACACTACTGTACTGTTTTATTCATTGAGTTTCTTTTGTTCTTTAAATCCGTTTCATCAAACTGTTTCCCCCAATAAAGACAGGATAAAATGTACAGGATCTCTTTTCATTATATATTTTTATTATCTACTGTAACTGTTAATAAAATCTCCAATAACAGCACATTGACAGCTACAGTTGTTATAACCTTACCTTGTGTATGATTTATAAAGTTTTATAAACTTAAACTAAACTCTTTGTTCTGTAATTAATATCTTTTAAACAAGTCAAATTAAATTTGTATTATTATTATGAGCATACACATAGTATAATATTTACTACTTTACTATTTCTTGATTGTTTAAATACTATACTACTATGAAAAAACACAATAGGTTTTTGTTGGACAAATCGATTCTTCCATATCATTTTTATATGTGTCACGTATAATAATAACACTTTTACAAAATCATACCTTAATGTCATTGAACTTTAATATCAAATTTTCTTCAAATTGTTTTTATCTTTCACAGTTCGTCGTATAGTTGTCCCTCGTCACTTGAATAATAGAATACGTAAAACGTATATAGTAACGTCACTTCTAATATAGACTCTAAAGTCACTGTATAAGTATCACATTGTTATATCTCATTAAATATACCAATTGACCACACGCTGAGATTGTGTTTTTATAACAAATATTGAGTAGATAATGTGATCATGAACATAAAATATTCAACAAGGACTTGGTTTATTAAACGAAGCATATTAATTTAGTAATGAGAAGATATCAGCGTCTGTTGATGAGTTAACTATTACAGTTTAATAAATATTATATTTTTGAACATGTGAATATTAATACCATAAGCAGTTACTGCTATTGAAGTTTGTTCTGTATAAGGTTTGAGTGGTTCCTGAGGTCGCTGACGTTTAGAGTTTTAAGATCCCGATATATAACGAACTTCACTGAGATGCTTATTTGATGAAATATATTTTATATTCAATATATGACAATAATTATATTGCATAATGAGATCTGACATTTTCGCGAGTCATATAAATGAAACTAATATTTTGCAGATATACTACGCGATCTTATCTATAATATAAAAAGGAATCGCAAAATGTGTTGGTAAGCGCATAACTCAACAACGCCTGGACCAATTTGGCCAATTCTTTTTTTTAAATGTTCGTTGAAGTCCTAGGAGGGTTTTTACGGCAAGAAAAAATCGAATAATTGCCGGGAAACCCTAAAAACAACCCTTTTCTTTTACACATACAAACGTTTTCTAACTAAAACGCAGAATCAATTTGAGCTTTATTGCTATTGCATAAAGTTCATAATCAATTACAAGCACTAACTTGTAAAAAAATAAAAAAACAGGGTGAGCTAAATAAAACCATTTAAAAAGTAACTTCATTGAGATAAAAAGGTAACAGATATTTCTTGATTATAGGGCGGTACGAAGTCCGCCGAGTCAGCTAGTTTTTGATAAAAACTATACATACTTTAGAGCACCCGAAACGTCGCACTATGGAAAAATCTCGTATGTTTCGTCTCAAACCTCCGTATTTCAGTTATTTCAAAACTGAATGATCTGTAATTTTGCACACATATACGTGAAAGTATAAGGCTTAATATAAAAAATAATAATTTTGAAAATTATGTTTATTAATTTATTTAAAAAATAAAAATATATAAAATTATGTTTAAATATGTTTTGACACCGTATCAGAAAAGGCGCAAGTAGGCGCAACTTGTATTTCCTTATGTAAACTAATATATAAAGATTGTAAAACAACAAATACCTCGACAGCGGTAATGGGTTAGGTGTCGTTAAAAAAAAGAACCCGAAAATGATACCAGCTTAAACTATATTGGTTAGTTGTGTTTATTTATTTATTTATTATACGTAATATTATTTAAGAAACGTTATAAGGAGATTATAAGCATTTCAAAATTATGTAATACTTATAAATTTATATCAAAAACTTTCGAGTAATGTGGCGTTGAATTGTAGTAATGTATTGTGCCAAAATCACATCATTGAACATGAGTTAGCTTTGATAGCTTTTTATATACATACATTACATACTGTTTGCAAAAAAACATTTAAAAATTATATAAAAGAAAGCTTATTTATAAGACTAAAATAATTAATTAGTTTTACTCCATAACAACGACTTTCATGTGAAAGGGTTTTTAGACGGCCTTGTATGGGGCTCTTCCATAGTGCGTCGGGAGTATGTAGTTTTAATCAAAAATAAAGTCACTTAGTATATCCGCAAAATATTAGTTTTATTTAAAAGTCATTAGTTGCCTCATAAATTTCAGTCCAGAGTATGACTAAAAAAGGTTTTTTTTTATATTTCAGCGGTTTGACTATTAAACCATTTCCATGCCAATCGAAATTATGAAACCCATAGAACATGCAAACGTTTACTTACCATCTTCAGCATCAGAATCCTCAAATGTTATAAAAGCGAAAGTTTGTATGAGTGAAGGTATGGATAATAGTTACTTTTTATTCAAATCTAACGAACAACAAAAAAAAACAGTACATAACTTCAAACGTCACTATCACCGGTAATGAACTATTTGTCTCAAGTATCGATTGATAATTGACATAGGATGGATCGACAAATTAGGTGCTTGTCAAACGTCAAATATTATGTTTGCGTCCAGAAATTTAAAATTGTTCTACAGAAATATAAACAATCTGATACTAAGTTAAATTTATTGTGCTACCAAATGTAAGTAGTAAAAAAATACGTTTATTTTTAACCTAATGAAGATGATTACGTAGTTAGAAAGATATAAAAAATTCTTATTAGTTATTCATTTTAAACTATTCTTCTAAGTTGATTTCTAATCACTTCAAAGTGAAAACGAAAGTATTTTCATATTAATTGACCTTTTAAACATTCCAATCCTTTCAGCCGTTGTCAAGGTTTGGTGACACTAACGAACAGCAATAAAATTATAATACATAAGGTCGTTTTTGAAATGTTCTGTTTTCTGCTGAAGTTCTTTCAGAGATGTTACATGATCATTAAACTTTCAGGGCGGATGACGAAGATTGCGATATTTATTTTTTTTGTGTTGAACTTTATATTCATGGTTAAAATATTACACAGCAAAGAAAAAAAATGTATTGTTTGATTTTAAAAGGAAAATTTTAAAGAAACTAAAACCAAATTTATAGAACACGTCAGTGATTATTATTCCATCGTCTCCCTCTTACTTACAGCTGTAAGTAGCTTGAGTAGCTACTCGTAATATAAACAATCACAGTTTAAATATGTGTTTGTATTTAAAATATTTCCTTCGTGAAATGTGTTATTGGAAGTTCTGATATCACTTTAGTAGTAGGTATACGAGTATGAGGAAATTAATTTTAATTGGTTTTCCAGTGTAGGTAGTGTTGTTGAGATATGAAATAGCTTACATCTGTTTGTCACTCGTGAAATATTTAAAGTAATGTGACATCGTTTACACAACGACGTCTCTAAAGTGACTTTAATGACGGAACTCTCACATATAATTCATAAAAACAGTTTTTATTTGATAATGTTTTAATTCTGTGTGACTATTATTTGCTAGGTCGTCATATCAAAGCTGAAAATTTCAAACAAGTTCGATTAAAGCTGTCTGTAATTTATCATCAAAGTGATTTAAATAGTTCATAGTTTTATTATGCCAGCTTTACAATACCTTTTTCTTTAACTTTGAAATTGATTGCAGTTGAGTAATTTACCAGATTTTTTACTGTTCTTAAATTTTATTCCCTTTTCAGGTGTTTCCCAGATGTAACGAAACGAAACCAAATAACGAACCTTGGAAGGCAAGAAATCTTTAGAATATATTAGACATTGTCGAAAGGTATTTTTCTTTCAGAACCAACAAACAACAATACTTAAGATTAAATGATTTTTATTTACTGATCAAACTGTCATCAAAAATTATTTTGAACAAAGACAAAAGTGAGAATACTTAACCCTCCATCACTCGCGCGGTTTTTTAGCTCGTGAGCACTCGCGGGGTGTTGTGGCCACCCCACATACTCAAAGTACATTTAAACAAACATAATGGAAGTTAATGAAATTACACCGGTTTTTTATTATTTTGTGTAGTATAACGTATGTAAATAACATAACTAAATTTTATAATCAACTTTATTACTGTTCTACAAAACATTATAATAATCAGCCTTTTTAGTCATAATATTGAGATCATATCGCAAAAAAGAAAGAAAAACAAAAAATTTCTTCGTTTTAACATATTTTTTTTCATTGAAAAACAAAATATAAGGATGAAATAACAAAATTAAATAAAAATTTCTTAGTTTTCGCAACAAGAACTGCAAATTAACTTCATGTGTTTTTGACACAAGGTTTTTTTACAAAAATCGCAGTGACTCAATGTTTTGATGTCCTTAGAACGTGGACAAACTATACAGCGCTGCTTTTTTTTTGGCGACATTCCTTCGGTGCTTGATCCAGGAGCATTCAACATCCTCTTGAGTGCTTTCGGTAACCCTGGTTGTGAAAATCTTCTATCAAGGTGACCTTGAAGCATGCTCAAACCCCATGATTCCAAAAACTCAGGCCTTTTCATGTTACATTGTTTATTTTTTTGATGTAAATATTTGTGCAACTAGTTATTTCTGCAATCATGTCGTCAGTAATAAAGAGTTGTAAACATTCAAGTGGAGATTTACAAGTTTTGGCATTACCTTTGGGAAGGGGAGCTTCAGTAATTATATTGTGAGCGCGGGTTCTAATTGCAGTACGACCCTTGACTCTGTCCTATTTAGATAAAGAATCATGATCAGATTCTTGAATAAAATCTTCATCCAAGCTGGCATCACTTTCCACTGCATCATTATCTTCGTTATCCGATATTATTTCTTCTAACAAAGCTGCCAATCTCGCTTGCTCCTGTTCCCAGCTCATCTGAAAAGAAAAATCATTGAAAAAATATTACATACCTACGAACACAGAAAGGTACCTAATTAGAAGTGTGTGAAAACCAAAACCATTACATATTCGTATATGCTTAGAAATACATAAATATACATTTATAGTAAATAAAAACACAACTTAATAATTTATGTTTACAAAACAGTTGAAATCACATACCTTGATGATAAAGTATCCTCCGCAAAAGTATGACACGAGAACTCGCGGGGTGTCGTGACCACCCCGCGCAAACTTTGAGACGTCCTCCCACTGCGAGCGCTCGCGCCACGCTACTCCCGCCGTCCGTTTCGATGCGTTTAAAGGTCACTTGAAGGTACTGAGACGAGCCGATACATAACTCAAGAAATTATTATTCTTTTTTACGTTCAAAAATGCGTGGGGTGCCGATAGCACCCCGCGCGAGTGATGGCGGGTTAATACAAAGATTAATATACAAATATATCGTAAGGTCAGAAGTCACACTAAAAACACATAGGTTCAAGTGATATCTAACGTAATCTATTTCATAAAAATAGGTTTTGCAGTTCTATTGGACAAAAATACAGCCAATTAGCTATGACAAAGTTATCATCACATTTTTGTTAATATACATAGAACGGATATATCATACATATTTGGTATCTTTAAGAGTTAATCTTTAATTTATTTATTTGAATTGTGATTACAGCAGTCTTTTAAATTTGTTTTATATTCATTATGAAAAACACTTAAGCCATGCTATAACTTATATTCGAATGATTCAAAAAAACGAATCAAACGAACGAACGTATTGAAAGAAACTGTAAAACTTTAACTGAAAAATTTAAGTTATAAAAAATTACTATAAACACTTATTAAATACAAAGAATATTACTTTTAATCCCACATAGTATTGCTAACATGTTTTTCATAGTATAATATTGTTCCAGGGTGTAGTAACCTCTGAGCCTGTGCCGCTGCTGCTGAGCGTGCGGCAGCTGGGGATGACGACCACGAGATGACGTCACGGAGCTGGGGAACGATATTCATGATATATATATCTTATATATAACATTCTCGTGTCACAATGTTCGTTCCCGTACTCCTCTGAAACGGCTTGACCGATTCTCGGAAAATTTTGTAAGCATATTGAGTAGGTCTGAGAATCGGCCAACATCTATTTTTCCTTCCCCTAAGTGATAGGGGCTGTTCATCCCTAATTTTTGTTTTGATTTGGACGAAAGGTTTTGTTTTTATTTTTTTATCAAGTGGCATAAGAAAATACATAAAATCCTAAATATTATTTTTTTATCACCAACCCCTACTTTTGATATGACAAAACAACGTTTGCGGGGCAGATAGTATATATTAAATAATAAATAATCAAAACTAAGATAACCATTAAATTAGTGCGTAATATAGAAAAATATCTCTTAATTAAACGTTATTTCATTTAATATTTGTTACAAGTGCGATGTCGAACTGTATATTCATAAATGTTTTTGTTATAAGTGTAATTCTCATATAAGTGATAATAATGTCTTAAGGGAAATAAAATATCATAAAGGATACATTATTTATAGGCGTAAAATCGTTAATAATTAATTAGTATATAAAGAAAATATATATAAATTAGATAGATTAATCAAATGTAGCAATATATTAAAACACTATCAGATCATAAAGGTTTTGTATAATAGTGAAATCCCACAGTAATACCTCGGATAGGAAGGTGTGTAATTCCAGGAGTTGGTGCAGCAGCTTCCTCCTAAGATCTGCAGCTCAGCGCTATCTGCTGGGAGTTACCGCCGGGGCGTAACCGCTGGAGGCGAGATCCTTCCTCCTGGAGCACCTGGAAATAGATTTAATATCACTACAACTCTCTCTTCTACCTGGCAACTTAGCAGCTTTAGCCAGGGTCTACCTTACATGTTGTGAATAGTTTTGGCTAATTGTTTTTACGACCGGCCGCCTGCCTGACATCAACCCTCTTTGGGAAAGCATTAATCAGTGATGTGTAAATATTCTCAGAAAGTACATATGACTCGGAAAAATCCCATTGGTACTTGCCTGGGCCAGGAAGTATATTACTACAACTATAAAATACTGCAAAAATCAGTTAAAATCTTATTTAGGCAGAATTAGGCTACATTAAGTGAGGAGCTATGATATTATGAAATAGATTTTGACAAGTATTAATTTAAATGAAACTAATATTTATCATAGCGTCTGCCCGTGATCATGATTCTGTAAAGTAAACGAAACGTCGGAAATATGTATTTTTTTATCAAAACGTTCATCCAAGAAATATTAGTTTCATTTAAATCAATGGTTCCCAACCAGTGGTCCGTGGACCACCAATGGTCCACAGAAGCCAAAATATGGTCCGCAAATGATTTTAAATTTAGCGGGCGGTGGGTCTTGAGTCGTTTTGGTGTAAAAAAGCAATTTCTTATGTTAAACTTCGAGAAATGGCCTCGCGCTATTTTATGATTTTTTCAACAACTTATTTATGTGAACAAGGATTTTCTGCTTTATTGGTAATTAAAAACAAAGCGAGGATTCGTTTGAAAGTAAGTGAAGTAAGCTTTGAGTAACAATATTAGTCCTAGGATAGCCGAACTCATGAAGAAAATGCAAGCTCAGAAATCACATTAATACAAAATTGCAGAAGTTTATCCTAAAAATATTATTATTTCTTGTTTTGTTATATCCTATTGATTTGTTAATTAAAGTTTCAGTTTGATTATTACAGTTTATTTTTATTATACTTACATAGTGGTCCCTGCTAACAAGAATAATATAAAAGTGGTCCGGAACTAAAAAAAGGTTGGGAACCCCTTATTTAAATGAATACTCGCCAAAATCTTAGATTTCATTATAAGTCAATCTTAATAGTTACTCTGTGTCTATTAGTTTGCATTTCTTATCACTATTTTGTACACAATTATTGTTGCTTCGAGGGTGTATATTTTAAATTTTATATTTAAAGCAAAATTTATTGTAAGAATATGTTAAACTACCTAGTGATACATTTATTATGATTGTCGAAGTTTTAATTTAAAATACATTATATGTTTAAAGTCATAATTTTCTCAAGTCTGCGCGTCTATAGCGACCATATCGTTCTCGGCTGCGTCGTGGTCCCTCAAGAGGGCGGTGACGGCGCGCAGGTCGCGGGGCGCGGGGGGCGGGGCGAGTCCGTCCGTCGCTCCCCGGCCCGCGCCAGCAGGTCCCCGGCGTCGCGATGGATCTCGCCAGCAGCAGCCAGGCGCTGGTTGCGGGACTGGATCTTTTCTACCAGACGCTGCCAGGTCTTGCTGGAATATATGAATTGTATTTGAGTTGTGGATTATGTAAATTAGATCTTACATATATATATACATATAGTATCTCTCACCTGCACACACTCTCCATGAGCGCGGCCTGCCTGCTCGCAGCCAGTCTCTGCAGCCTAGCCAGACTGCCAGCCAGCTGGTCATGTCTAGTGACCAGCGCCGCTCCCTCAGGATGACCACCGGAAGCCATGGATTGCGCCACGTGACCCATTTCCGCTATGATCGCCGCGTATGTGTCCAACTCGAGTTCTACGGCCTGTTGGTAGGTTAAAGAGGAATTGTAAGATAATGCTGAATATACTCTGTATTATTATATTTCTGTTAATTGAAAGTGTTAGAAATTTAAATAATGACAACTTCTTCTAATTTAAGTCCATATACAGGGTGACTGGTGAATTACTATCAATATTTAAGGAGAATACTCGGTACATGATTCTCATTCGAATTATGTAAAAAAAATAGGCACTTAATTTTTGACAAAATTTCCGTATAAATAAATAAAGTGTTGACACGTTCCAAGTGTTAAAGTGTGGACGCGTGCGGCGGCGTGCTGATACAACACTACGTCACGACATGCGTATGTGTGAGTGTCAGTGTATACCTAATCTGTAGGGTGCTCACACGATGCGTAATTAATTACATAACTTTTGGTTAACTTTACTTAGTAGTTTATTAATATTTATGTTATATTAATTTTTATTTTGTCATATATGATCGTCAAATATCACGTCCTCAAATATTGATAGTAATTCACCAGTCACCCTGTATATATGTTAGATGTCATACTCCTGCCAAACGGCTTAACCGATTTTTATGAAACTTTATATGCATATTCAATAATTTTAACAATTGGCTACTATCTACATTTCATACCCCTAAGTATAAGGGCGGCCCACTTTTAACACCTTATTTAATTTTTTTGGACAACCTTTCATAATGTGGCATTATAAAATACATACAACCCTAAATTATCACTCTTCTATCACCAACCCCTATTTTTAATATATGTTTTATAAATATTTGATCCTACCCAATGACTGATAAATTTTCACTTCATAAGTCACTTGATGACTTACATATACGAGTATATAGTGATTTATCATTTCTTGTAGCTCAAAAATTGTGTGATATGACGAAAATGTAATTCTTAGCTATGTATATATGTGTATATTACCTTATGCCGTGTGAGTAGTTGCGTCGCTCTATGCCTATCATTGCCGACGTCACCGGAAGCCAGTGCGGCGGCCTTGTCAGCCAGACAGGAGTCGACTTCCGCTGCATCATGCTGGAACTGCTGGGCCTTGAGCGCCGCCTCCTGCCGGGCCGCGCGCTCCTCCGCCGCTGATGACACTGAGGAGTACGCCTATTCAAGCTCCTGGCACAGCTGCTTGATCTGGAATGTGATCGTTATAGTTTAGTGGGTGGAGTAGGGAAATAAATTATATGTATATGCATAAACTAATCTTCTTCTTAGTGGCAATTTCCCAGCTTTTAGCCAGGGTCTGCCTAAGATGTGTGAATAGTTTTGCCTAATTGTTTTTACGACCGGACGCCTGACTGACGTCAAACCTCTTTTGGAATGCATTAATCAGTGATGTCTAAATCTATATATATAAAAGAAAGTCGTGTTAGTGACTTCACTTATAACCCAAGAACGGCTGAACCGATTCAGCTGAAAATTTTCAGGGAGATAGTTTAGAACCAGGAAATTGCAATAGGATACTTTTTATCCCGTTCGACAGCATTCCCGTGGGACTTGACATGAAACGTCAGTCACTATAAAACGTGGAATAACACAATTGACGTATAATGACAGATATGTAATGACGTATGGATGACAATTAGATATTTGTAAGAAATCTACTATATAAAAATAAAAATATTTAGGTATTGTGTTTGTAGATTGAACTCTTAAAACCATTTAGTATTTGCGGGATAAATTTAGAAAATCATTGTTTTTCACATGGGCAGTTATATTCTGCGTGTTCACGAGCTTGGAAACCATACGCTTTATTTGTGTTAAAGTTAGACCAAAAAACAAAAAATGTGGTTTACAAAGGAGCACTTCTATGAAACGGATAATTTGCGGACACGTATAACGCTTCGATTCGGTATCTACTTTGGATTCACTTTCATTTACTTAGACAAGTTCAACTACTTCAACAACAACAACAACTTCATTTTTGTAATCGAAACGAATTCATTACTGTTGTGAAATGAAATAAAAATTTTCATTTTCAAATATAAAACAAAAAATTCTTCATCTTTTAATCACCAAACGAAATGTTCTACATATAAAAGCCTTCTGGTGGCGAAACGGAGTTCGCCAGGTTTACTAGTCTTCTATCTTCTATACAGGGTGACTGGTGAATTACTATCGATATTTGAGGACGTGATATTTGACGATCATGTATGACAAAATAAAAATTAATATAACATAAATATTAATAAACTTCTAAGTAAAGTTAACCAAAAGTTATGTAATTAATTACGCATCGTGTGAACACCCTACAGATTAGGTATACACACACACTCACACATACGCGTGAGGGGGCGTGGTGTTGTATCAGCACGCCGCCGCACGCGTCCACACTTGGAACACTTGGAACGTGTCAACACTTTATTTATTTATACGGAAATTTTGTCAAAAATTAAGTGCCTATTTTTTTTTACATAATTCGAATGAGAATCATGTACCGAGTATTCTCCTTAAATATTGATAGTAATTCACCAGTCACCCTGTATATATAAAAATGGATTGCTGTTCCTTAGTCTCGCTAAAACTCGAGAACAGCTGAACGGATTTATCTTATCTTAGTCTTGAAACGTTCGTGGAGGTTCAGGGAAGGTATAAAAGCTGAAAAAAATTTATTCATTACTGGGAAAACCATAAAAACAGCCCTTTTCTATTTCCCATACAAAAGTTTTTTTTGACATTAGATTTGACAACTAACTAATATGTCAATCATTCTGTCGCACTTCAAAACACGGAGATTTATGGCTTACAGGTAAACTCCAAAAATATAAATAAAAAACGTAATAGATATTTCTTGATTGAGGCAGTACGAAGTCTGCCGGGTCAGCTAGTACTCTTATAAAGTACATATGACTCGGAAAAATCACATTGGTATTTGCCAGGACCGAACCCGCGCCCTCATGCATGAGAGGCGGGACTTTTAACCACTAGGCCACAACTAACTGAGGAAATGAATTATATGTATATACATAAATTAATATAATACAAATTGGTGTTTCAGTTAATGTCGCGTTCACACTGTTTACTTCGCTGTAAGCAACAGTACTATGCACATGTGCTTGGAATCTACTCTCAATCTCTCTCCTACTTTCTACATTTGTATATCTTTCTTTCCCTAAGTTAAACGTTTAACGCAACCTTGTTGGTAGTCGCATAAGAAGTTTCACTTCAAGAATTCACTCATAAAATATTTAAAAAAATCAATTATTTGCCGAACTTTGTCCAAGAATAATTTAATTATGCATGCTGTATATAATATTTCAGATGAACCAAGGTATGGTGTGGAGATCCAGAATGAATTTAAGTATAATACTATGACGTTGGTAGGATGGACATTTTTTACTATGCGTCAGTTCTGCACTATCGAACGGACGCGTGTTTCTCTCTTAGAAATAAATACCTACATAAAATCACTACAAATACAATGGGACATATAACTATATAACATTACTATGTAATACATGAGAATGTGAGTTATACATATACAACGTGTAACATAATTAACGCACACCCTGAAAGTAGTTTGATCAGAATCGGATACTGGATCGATTTTGATAGTTTTTTTATGTAGGTCATTTTTTTTTTCTCAAATTTAGATAGAACTAAGTAAATTATAGTCACCCTACTACACACAGTTATCTAAACACTTCATAGAAACGAAAATTAATGGAAACGAAAATGGATCGTAAGTCAGGGTATTAAGATTTTTAAAATGAAATATTTAATTAGTAATCATCATTCAATTAAAGAAAACTGATACTTATTTCAAGGCTACAATAGTATTTAAAAATAACTACGCACGCAACACCATAGCGACAACCAGCACACAGCAAGGTCACTACAGTGCTTAAAAGAAAGCCGCGTAATACAAAAATTATTACTTTCTCCTTCTTTCTTCGGCTAAATAACATTACAATAGAGAGAGACGGCAGGCTAATTCCAGGAAACAGAGTAATAATAACTAAACATCGAAGTCAACAAAATGTGTTTTGGGTAAGTTAGTCACGCCGCGTCCACCTTATCGAAAAGAGGTCAAGTGTAAAGTGCAAATAAAATCTTAGTCGCGCATTTCGCTGTGTCGTTTCGGTACACTAACATTCAATACATCAAATACCTACGCACGTGTCCATTGACCTCCTAGATCAGCTGATTTGACGCGACTCGACTTTTTTTTTGTGGGGGCGAATTAAATCGCTAGTTTATAACACAGAGATAACAAGTGCCGAGGAACTAAAAAATAAGATAATAACCGCCTTTGTAAAAGTGAAAAGTGACATTGCAGTATTATCTAAAATAAAACCACAATTGCGAAAACGGTCATTAAAGTGCATAAAACAAGGCGGTGGACATTTTGAAAATGTTTTAAAACGACAACGCCGTGCGAGTGCAAATTAAACTGTAAGTTTGTTTATCATCTTTAAATTATTGTAAATATTTTGATACACACTATTTAAACAGGCCGACTGTGTTTAACTTTGTCGTAGATATTGTGGTGTCTAATCAAATCACGCGTTATCAGCTGTTTAATAATTCTTATTTACAAATTTAATTTAACAAATCAGTAATTATAAAATACTAGTTTTTGCCCTCGACTTCGTCCGCGTTAGTTTGGTCAAGAGTAATATATGTAGGTATAGCTGACCAGGCGAACTCTATTCCGTTTTAGAGGCCATAAATAATCAGGTTTTTCCTGTTTCAATCAAACAGAATGATTGACATATTAGTTAGTTGTCAAATCTAATGTAAATGAAATAGAAAAGGGCTGTTTTTAGGGTTTTCTCGGCAATTATTCCCATTTTTCTCACCTTTTAAACCTTCCCCGGACTTCCAGGAGTATTTCAAGACTAAAATTAGCCAAATCGGTTCAGCTGTTCTCGAGTTTTAGCGAGACTAAGGAACAGCAATCCATTTTTATATATATAGAAGATAGAAGA